GGGGAGGTAGGGGGGGGAACCGCACGCCGGCCACTACCTCCTATAGGGGCATCACACCCTGTCTCCCCCCGCTATAGGGGCACCGCACCCCACCACCCCTGCTATGAGGGCCCTGCTCTCCTCATCCCCTCCCTGCTATAGGGGCACTGCGCCCCATCCTCCTTGCTATAGGGGCATTACAGCCTGTCACCCCCCTGCTTACAGGGGCACTACACCCTGTCACCCTTCTGCTATAGGGGCATTGCACCCCACCACCACCCTGCTATAGGGGCACCGCACCCTGTTACCTGCTTGCTATAGGGGCACCACACCCCATCCTCCCTGCTATAGGGGCCCTGCATCCCACCCTCCCTGCTACAGGGGCAACACACTCCATCCTCCGCACTATAAGGGCATCATACCCTGTCACCTCCCTGCTATAGGGGCACCACACCCTGTCACCTGCTTGCTATAGGGGCACTGCACCCCATCACCACCCTGCTATAGGGCCATGGTACTGCATCCTCCCTGTTATAAGGGCATCACACTTGGACACCGCCGTGCCATAGGAGCACCGCACTCTGTCACCATTCTGCTATAGGGGCACTGCACCCCATCCTCCCTGCTGTGGGGGCACCACACCTTGTCACCTCCCTACTATGGGGGTACGGCACCCCATCCTTCCTGCTATAGGGGCACTGCACCCCGTCCTCCCTGCTATAGGGGCACTGCACCCCGTCCTCCCTGCTATAGGGGCAGACCTCATCCCCCTCAGGTCCACTGCTAACACCACTGGGACCTTCGCCTAGGACAGGGCTGCAAGGAAGGGGACCACCAGCTGCTCGCGCCATGGCATGGACCGAAATTAGGTCCTGAACCCTCAGAACACCAACGGTTTGAGTGCGGTGCCGTTGGAAAGGACAAACGTGACACCGGGAACACTTCAGGTTTTTATTTATTGTAACAAACGCGGAGAAACCTACATGTGCACGGCTCATTTCAGCTCCTTCACAGCCAAACCTGGGGAGAGAAAGAGATGGCTTAACGGTTGGAAAGGCTCTGCTCCCGCCCTGCCCACCCACCCGGGGAACAGCATCTCCTCCAGCATCGGTTCCAGGGACAGGGACAGCAAAACTGAGCGGTCTGAAGGCATCAGTGACCCAGAACGGGGGAAAACGTGCTGGGACAGGGCTGCTGGCCAGCGGCAACTCCACAGTGGCCACCTCCATCCAGCCTGCCTGCTGCCCCGAGCATGGGACGCTTCCCTCCAGACACCAAGGGATGTACCTGGAGGCAGGGACTGCTTCAGCTTCTCGGCCTTCTCCTTGTCCGTGATGACCAGGGTGTACAGGTACCGGCTGCAGCGCACCTTGAATTTCACATTGTCCTTGTTCTTCTTGATCTTGACCGCTGCAGGATTAAGGAAGAGGTCAGCAGGCTGGCAGCGACCCCACACCGACTCCTCACCGAGCCTGGAGGATGCTCGCAGCCCTGCCTGGCTCTCCGGCACTAAACTAAATCCAGACTATTATTTTTTTCTACACCATTGTCACTAACAGCTACTGCCCGAATTGGGGGATTCAGCCTGCTGTTGCGCAGAGGTTTCTCAAAGCCAACAGCTTTATTTTGAGGTCGTTTTGTTTCGCAGCAGCAGTTTACAACAAGCAATGCGAAAAATTTATTGCATCGCAAATTTTCAATGGAGCATGAATGGTTCACACCAGGCTTATTTACTCGCGCCATCCTCTGCATCCAAATCGCTGCGCTGGAGCTTGTAACACAGCTTCCGAGCTCTGCGGCCAGCGCTTCCAATCTCCTTCACATCCCCCTAAGGCCGTTTTATCGAGGCAGCTCGCTCTGGGCTGTGGTCAGTTCCTCTCCCTCCCTGCTGCAGAGCCCCCGCAGGTCAGCATTACAAGAGCTGCTACAAAACACGGAGCAAGTCAAAAGGCACGGAGATGCTTTGTAAGGGGCGTCATCAGCTACAACAGCATTTCAGTGTTGAACTATCCCTTCTCGCCCACACTGGTAAATTATAAAAACATCTCCAGAATTAAAGCGCCTCTTCTCCGTGACAGCTGGATCGAAATAAGCAAGAGAAGAGGGAAAACTCTTCACGCATTGTTAAATACTGAGACAAGGCATTTCTGGTGTTTCAATTATAACAGTCTTTGTATTTGCAACACAAGAAAATGCATGTTTGAGTATGATTCACTTGTCATTCTGACAGGACTCCCCAGCGTCTGACATCTTGTAGTTTTTCGAAGACTACAGCAAGTCAGACACAAGGTGGTATCTGCACACAGTTTCCAGCAAGCTGCAGTTGGGGCTTGGCCAAAACAACCCAGGGGGAGCAGCCACGGAAGAAGCGTGGCTAAGAGGATGCGAGAGCACCAGTCCCCGGAGGAGCCCAGTCCTGGACCCGAGCCCCCGAGAGCAGACCTCACCTGCGGGCTCCATCACCGCATCCCTCTGCCCAACGAGGCTTTTGATCATAGGCAGTGACCTCAGCCAACACGGAGCAAAAACCACTGTAAGTGTCACCAACGCCATGCCCAGACAAACCTGCAACCCTGCGTATCCCTCAGCTTGACTCTCAAGCCAAGGAGCTCCTCAGCTTCCCTGGGGAGACAGAGGCCCCACAGCCCTGCTCTGGTGGGGAAGGAGAGCTCCTGTGCCAGAGCATCCCACCTCACTCCTCCCCAGAGACACACGCAGCAGCCTCAGCACTCACACTTTGCATCCTTCCTCCTGGCTGTCAGCAGAAAGTCTTTAATCTCCTCAATCTTGCGAGGCTGAAAACCAAAAGAGACACTCAACATATGGAGAATCACAGAATGGTCTAGATTGAAAAGGACCTTAAAGCTCATCTAATTCCAACCCCCCTGCCCTGGGCCGGGACACCTCCCCCCAGCCCAGGTTGCTCCGAGCCCCGTCCAACCTGGCCTTGAACACCTCCAGGGATGGGGCAGCCACAGCTTCTCGGCGCAACCTGCCCCAGGGGCTCACCACCCTCATCGTCAAGAATTTCTTCCTTAAAATCTGATTTAATTCTCCCCCTTTCAGCTTCAGTACAGCTGAGAGCGCACTCCCCAACTCACACATCGGTCTCTGTGAGCATCCCCAGCAGAAAGCTCCTGCTCCCACAGCCAAGCACCCCCCCC